AAAAAAAAAAAAAAAAAAAAAGGTTAATTGAACTGCAAGTTCTAGTGTTATTTAAAGATTATCTGCTCTGCCACATATTTAAACAGCAAGTATAGTTGAGTAATTTAATCCTGGAACCAATAATTTTTTTCAACTAAAAATTAGCTTAGGAGGTACTAATCAGCTTGCAAGGCAAATATAATGGGAGAAAATCAATTTAAACTCTCTGTTTGAAGCTGGTGCCAGGTCATTATACAGAAAGACTAATCTGCTAAATAATTAAGGCTCTGTATTTGTGGAGCGAGACGAAAGAAACATTACAAGTGAATAATAATTCTGTGCTGCCGTTTGCCTCTTTAATCTATAATTAGACTATGTACTTCAAATATAGATGTTAGACTGACTAAGGTTTAATACAGAGCTAGTGGTATGGGCTTTCTGAAAAAGCACCTGATCTGTGCCAAGGAAACTAGAAACAGTCATCCCCTTTGGATGTGATCTCTGGTTAAAAATCAGCCTTGTCTCTGCTGACTGAGCACAAGGAAAGGATGTTAGAAGCAAGCAGCTTTTGTAACAAAGCACACGTATCCTTATTAAATTACTGCAGTAACGGCTCCAAGCATTGCAGCACCTACTGAAAATTGGAGTATTTGCTGTAAAACACTGTTCATGTTTCATGGCCTATGTAAGGATGTGCTACTTGCCACTTCAGTGTGTGTACTGCATTTCCCAGTTTTGAAAGACATAAATATAAGACCCTATTTTGGATCAAAACACTCCTCTTCCTACAGACAGAGATATTTTCAAATCTGATTGTCCAATATGAGGCACACTGTTTCATAGGTAGATACACAGTAAATATGCTGATAGAATTCAATGCCCATGAAAATCAGGACAATTATGTGTGTTAGCGAACAAACTCATAACAGTTTTCTAAGGCAGAGACAGAAGATACAGTGGGTTCGCTTACTTTTCTTGGAGAAGAGTTTCTTTCTCCGTCCGACGTGGCTCAGCTTGTATTCGTTCTCTTCACAATTGCAGTCTTCACTATTCCTGTTGTAATACTTGGGCAAAATATTGGAGGTGCCTTTGCTGTTGCCTGCAGTTGCCAAGTTTGCCATTCCCTTGCACTTGTGTAGCTTGAGCTTTCCACTGGCATCTTCCACACACTGCCACTTCTGGAAGAAAAATTTGGTCATTAAAACTCTGTCCCAACTGCGCTTTGTCTAAGGGCCAGCTCCAGTGATCTATCAGAGATTCCTTGTTGTAGTAAGCTGGGGCTTGTCTATCACCCGCTACCAAAACAGATTTTCTGTAATCTTCCGTTTTCAGACATAACAGGAACTCTTCGGAACACTCTTGCATTTGTTTCTTGGAGGCAGAACAACAAGAATTTCTTAACAAAATCAATACTACAGCTAAAAACATGAAGGTGACAAGTGACAACTTTCAGAAGCATAACTGTGGCATAAACCAAGGACGTTCAAGCCTTTTCCACAGGTTTGAAAAGAATCCTTGCCTACCAGCAAGTGTGTTCATCAGGCTGGCAGGAATCTATGCCACTATTATGCCATTAAAACAGCACCAAGCTCCAGGCCTACATACAATCTCAGCCCCATCCCATATTCTTTTCAAAGAAGTCTCCTTCTCTTTCCTAGTTCAAATGCCTGATGGTGGGATGATTTTATCTGAGTTGTGGATTCCTTTACTGTAAAGATCTGGTCTGAGCTGGTTACCTAGACTCGTTCTACAGTCAAAGAAGAGGAACAGTCACTTCCAGGGTATAATTCCCTTGATCCTAAGGTGGCTATATAAAAGAGGTAAGAAAAAGGATTGCCCTGCAGAAGTGCCTGTTTCTCTTCACTGACCTTTAAAAGGGTCAGTATGACTGGATCAGCTATGGAAGTCTGTAGTTAGTCAAGTTTATCTCCATCTTGAGTGTTTCTCTTAATAGCTTGTCCCATTCAACACCCTTGGGGTTGACTAGCAATGGTGGGCTACACTGGATGCCTGTGAAGTGAGAATCCCCTCCCTCTTCCACTCAAACCAGAGAAAATCTCATCTCTAATCTCCAATTCCTTCTGTTACTCAAAACCTGAAGTAACTTGCTTATAGCTCCCTTTGTGCCGCTGTCAGAGCTGTGCCAAGGGCAAGGGAGTTTAGCCACCTTCAATCTGGCACAGAAGTTTTACCCACTTCCCAGATAGATCACAAAATGATTTCACCTACTCCTTTTATTTACCAACACACTACTAGCTACAGAGCTAGGCTTTGAGATACATAAAAACCCCCTCACACTAGCAGTTGCTACTGCTTTAAATAGAGACTCTCGGAAACACTTCAGCTTTTTGCTGAGTCTTGAGAGGCATTCCTCTTTTTCCCTATTACAAAATCCTAAGTCTGTGCCTCCAGGACTCACTGGAATATTGAGAATTTTCCAAATAAAAGAACAGAAGAAAAAACAGCAACAGCTCCCCAGTAAGACGACATTTTACAGCAGCCTGCAGCTCTACGAGGGAGATTCAGTCACTTCAGCTCCCACAGAGAGGTACGTCCAGGTTAGGACAACAAAGCTTATATTTTCCATTGAAATTCACTCCATTGTTTGCATGACAGCAAACTAAGAAAACAGTATCACTGTGCTTTTATAATACAGAATTTAACAGGAGTCAGAAGTGAACTGGCCAGTTACAGTGGATTTATCTATGTCCACGGGAGATCCTCTCATTTAAAATGATCAGAGTTTTATGGTGTGTCCACTTATTTCCTCAGACAATTGGATGCCAGGTCTCCTGAGCTATGATTACTTCTTAGGTGCAGATATTGTGTCCAACCTCTTGTACGATCCAAGCCTTGCACTGATGCAGATAAACTTGGCTTAACTTTCAGCACAAGGAATCATAGGAAATCAATGAGAGATACTGACAATAAAATGTTTGAATCAGACATCTTCGCATAACTGTCTTCATCTGTAAAGCAGGACACATTTACCTAGATGGAGTGTAGAACAAAAATATCCTTTGAAGAATAAATTGCTGAGTCTTTTTTTATTGTTTTTTATAAATGCCTAACTTTGATGCATAGACTGAGGTTTGAAGTAAAAGTTATTTTACTATAATAAACAACGGTTTCTTTCACAATGAAAAAAAAGATGTAAAAATGTTTGTTGCTGTTTCCCCTTTCAATTCATCTGAATCTTATTTTTGAAAATGTATGAACAAACTGCATTTTCTGCTCAGTAAAGCTCTATACTGTAGGTGTCTGATAGATGAAAAATGAAAATTCAACAGAAGGTAAGTTAAATGCCATGATGAGAACTACTGTAAATAAGTGCTCTGATGTGTGGCCCAAAAATATTTTTTCTCTATTTCTTTCATCTCCTGTCAAGAAAGTGATGCTCATTTTCCCCCTCCAGGTGAACTGGAAAAAATCCTTTAATTTTTGGTGCAGTTTAAGCCTTTCCAAGGCAGCTGTATGCTACAGTGAAAACATCTTAAAGACTTTGCTGGAAGGGCACATTGTATGCATTAACAGGCCCACTGCTGAACAACTGCAGCGCAGAACTACGTAAATGACTTTAGAAGCAAACACTGAACACATGTGGAAGAAAAAAAAAACCCAAAAAACAAAGTCCCGAGCTTTTACTTTTTTCCCCCAAACAGATATGGGCATGTGTGTAAACGTGTCTGGGATTCAACAACTTACCCTTGGTCTGCTTGTAAGTACAAACACAAATTCTCTAGGTCAACATCACAGCTATATTAGTTGCAGTCATTTCCACAGGATGCTTTCAAACTTGGGGAAAAAGGGCAGTAATTGCAAGGGAATGGTGAAAACCCCTGCTTGACAGTCAAGAAGCTTTGAACATTGTGAATTCTGGCATTTTTAAAGTGGTTTCTAGTGCACAGCATACCATCATGCAGAAACCTGTGTCAACCCCTGGAAGCAACTACAACACTTTAAAAGAGGTAATCACTTAAATAATTAAATCCACATATGAAGAACTCCAGAGTGCCCCAGAGATACTTTGGCTCACAGGTACCAATGATAACCATCCAGCAGCAAAACATAGTAACATACAAATAGTGGATTAACTCAACCAGTCAAGAAAACAAAGTGCCTTTAGTTCATCACTTTCGCCCAACTTTTCATGTCTTTTCTTCATTAGGCCAAAAGATGTGTTCCTAATCCAAGTTCTATAGCTCGTAATATCTCACAAGAGCTAAGTCAGCTAACTCCTGAAAGGGAAGGCAGTTTAACACAAACTAAAAGTCAGTGGAAAACCCAGACTTCCCCCCAGTCTTCATCACAGCTCATATCAAAACTCCAAAGGAAGAACCTGTATTTCTTCCTGTAAAGCCTTGCAGAACAGCTACTCAAGCCATCAAATAAATGGCTTCTGCAATATGTCCTGAAGTCCATCAAGCTCACGTTGTGCAAAACTTTCCAGACACCTCATATAATCATTAAAGCTGTTCCAGCTGGAGATTTCCCACCATCTTCAGGCAGGCCAAGTTAGCTGCTGTGCTTGTGCTTTCTGCCACCTACTTTGCTGGGCTTGTTCTAACACTTCTACTCCATCCTCTACCCTACCTCCCACCGCACAACACATGCTACTCAGTTATTTGTGTGCAAAGCAGAAGAGTCTGGGCTTTAGTTTAATGGAGAAATTAGTGCTACTGAACAGAAATCTTGTTCAAAGGTACACTGCAAAGGCAAAAAAAGGACAGTTTCTAACATATATTCTCCCCTCCAGCCCAAACTACCTGCTATTATGTATCAACAAGAGTAAATTAGGACTTCAATATCTATGAAACATGAATCTTAACAGCAGCAGTTGTAGACTGAACAGATGCCCTGATTCCCTCCCGTAACACTATTCACCTTGAACATGCAAATGACCCCTTAGCACTAGAGAAAGACATGTTGTATTTTTCTCTGTGTCAAAACCCCATTATTTCCTTCACAGCCCCCATCACCATGAAGTGGTTTTTGCATTATTGTGCATCAATGTCATCTTACTGCTACAGCAATCACAGATGTTAATTCAAAGTCACTACTTGAGGCCCCAGTCAGAAATAAATAGCCATGACCTTCCCTGTAGGATTTTTTCCTACAATTCACTCATTTCCCTCAGTGGATCTCTCTCAATTGACATTGTTTTCTTTGGGGGAAAAGGGCTGATCACACAAGCCTTGCTAAGAAAAGATTCCATTTGAAACATACAGCTTTCAGAGCTGAGCCCTAAATCATCACGCTGTGTCTCATCAGCTCCTCTTTTTGTTAAGCAAAAGAAATTCCATTCCCTTTTACAGAGAAGTGAAAAGTGAAACTGTCTGATCAGTTAGCTGCCAGCAAGGCTCCCTCCCGAACAGTTTTAGGAATATAGGCTCTAGGATTCAAAGTTTCTGCAGGATAATAAAGTCCTCTGTCCCTGCAGCAACCTGACAACACCACTTCAGCAATATCCATCATCTTTCTTTTATGCGGATGCTTTCTGAACCTCACCCTGCTGCCACATTGGATGGTGAGCTAGAGACAAATGGCTTTAATGCCTAGAAATATTCTAACTTCCAGTCTGAATTCATTTATGGGTAGTCAGGATATGTTTTTTCTTGTATGAAACAGTACAGTTACAGTTTAGTTAGTATGAAACAGTTGAAGTTAAAGTTTAGTTAGCTCTTCTCCTTTGCTTTGGTTTGCTCCTTGTGTTATTTTTTATTGGGGTAATGACGACAAAACAGCAAAATCCAGAGAGACGCAAGCTCCTTCTGTACAAGAGGTAGTTCTACTGCTTTTGCTGGCGGCTTGTCCTACTGCTCAGATGTTACAGGTTTCAGGAAATAGTCAACTTGAATTTCCCATTGTTTGTCTCATACACATTACTACTTCTCTGTTCTTGCTGACTGAAAAGAATTGGCTCATGTCTTCTGTATAGCATCTCTTAGATTCATGCAGACAGATTCCTCTCTCCTCAGCTATTCTTTTGACTGAATATGCCCAGTTCCTTAGCTCTTCCCCACAGGTATTATTTTCTTAATCTTTTAACATTTTTGTTGGGTTTTTTTTTGTCCCCCCCCCCCCCCCCCCAAAAGAATTGGCTCATGTCTTCTGTATAGCATCTCTTAGATTCATGCAGACAGATTCCTCTCTCCTCAGCTATTCTTTTGACTGAATA